AAAAAAAAACCGATCGACTAAAATTTAGACTTTAGTTGGTCATGTGATTATTTGGCTCTTTAATCGGGTTTTCTGTTAATAATTTGTTTGGGAGACATAAAAAATTAGTTCTTTAACATTATTTGTTTGATTAAGTAGGTGCTCCGTTTACTATAAACTACATCTACTCTTGTGGTAAACTCTAACAAATCATTCTACAAACAATTATTATAAATTTCGCCATTCACTTTATCGAATACAATATAAAGACCAACTAAGTAATCATTTACTCTATTCCATACGAGATATTAATTAAAAATTGTGAAAGAATTTTGTTCAGCCCAAAGATGCGTATTGTGTTGATTAAAAATCTTGCTTCTTAATAATGAAGCCTCGTCAGTAAAAAAAATTATATTAATAAATAAATCATAATTTTCAATTTTATTCATAATAATATTAAGAAATTCTAATCCAATAAAAAAATTATTTTTAGTAAAAAATATATTTCTTTTCAATGAAAAAATTCACTTAAGTTAATTAAATTATTTACGGCTCTGTGGAAAGTCTCTAAGTAAAGGCTATTGGACTCTTTATTGTATGGTTATAAATGTTTGTTTATCTTTCTTAATTCTTTTTTGAATGATTATCCTTAAGGCCAATATTGCTCCTTTTGTTCTCATTTTCCTTCTGAACCCCGTATTGGTCTTTCGCCAACGATTCTTATATCTAAACTTCAATACGATTGAATACAATCTTTGTTAATATTTTAGAGGTATGGGATAGCAGACTAACGGTACAGAATTCTTCACATTTTTTTTTCTGCTGCTTTCTTTGGAATGAAGCTAATTAGGGTTTTTATGTAATCTTTAGGTATTTTACCAGTTTCGTATATGTCTTTGATAATAGGTAATAACTTCTTTTTAACTTTTCAAAAATCTTTTTTATTATTTTATATGCTTCATTTCTATTTCATGTTTTAATGATTGTTTATATTTCTGTACACATTTCTTTTGCTCCCTTGATTTCCTAATTAATTACATTCTTCAGTGCTCTATAACTTTCCTGTCTTTTTGTAATGTTCGAACATTTACATTTCCTTCTTTCCTCTATCATGTTGACGATTTCAGCTGTAATCCATTTCTTTCTCGTAGTAATGTTGCTGAACACTAGAGTTTTTGTTACAGTCATTGCAATTGTATCTTTCAAGTTCTGTCATCTTTCTTTAATATTTTGGGTTTCTTCATTAATCGCATTATTAGTGTATTTACTTTATTTTTTCATAACTCAGATTTTTGTTAATTTTCCATTGCACTATTTTCTTCTTTTTACCCATTACTATATTAAATTTAAGTTCACATTTTATCATAATTAGAATAAAATAATTAAATATCAGCTCTTGGGTAACTTCTACTTTTATTTACTTAATTCTTAAATCTATTCTTAACTACATGTAATCTATTTGGTCTAATTTTTTATGTCAACTGTCATTTCCTACGTGTATATTCTATTTCTATAATGATTAAAACAACTGTTTGTATTTATTAAGTTATTTTTTCACACAATTCTGTTAAGCGATTTTCTCTCTCATTTCGCTTTTCCTACCCATAGACAACCGTTAAATTCTTTACTTTTGTTTTCCCTACAATATCATTCCAATCACTCATATCTACCGATTGTATTTTCGATAAACATTTTCGATTAATTTATCTATATTTCATATACTTCTTCTAGTTCTTCGTCGCTACTATTTACTGTCGGAATATATACTTGAATTACTATGGTATATGTAATGTGGTTTTAACCGATTTTATTAATCTAAAAAAGAATATTACAAACATGTTTAAATATAAATAAAAAAACAAATAC